AGGTTAGGAATATATGTTGGATACGAATTTTTATTTATAATTAAATATTTAGAATTATCAATAGGAGATTTATTCATGGCAATGTTTGTTGATTATTATTTTAATGAAACAATTTTTTCAACATTAAGGGGGAAAATAAGCAGTTGGAAAAGGAAATTTCTTAGAATGAATTATCATTATCTAATGTTGATCATTGCACAAATCAACATGAACTTGAAGTTCAAAAGATAAGTTTTTTACAAAATATAGTAAATCAGTTAACAAACATATTTACTGACCTAAAGAGAATAACTAAATCTTACATATCGGCCTCGAATGCTCCTATTAGCATTAATGTCCCTATATGACTAGGCATGCCAAAAGCATGGAGACTAACCGATTCTAAAGATAAAATCTTCGAAAAAAGAAAGAAATAAATATTCAAGATGATTAAAAAGAGGAAGTAAAAACTCTAGAAGAAACCCCTTACATAATTGATAAACATTTCAAAAGAAATTCAAGCACTTGAAAACATTGAAAATGAAGAGATCTCAATCAATTATATCATGATGGGAAAAGATGAAATTGGAATGAAATAAATATAAATGATATTTTTGTATATAATATAGAGCTCAATATTATAAAAAAAAACCGAGAATCTTGAACTTATATTTGTTGAAGAATGTAGATATAGAAATAATTGGCCAATGTGAAAAGATGCAATTAAGGAGGTATTGAATTTACTTGTAAAAACATGAAGTTTTTAAACTTGTAATCCGTACACCAAATTGTATAAAACCAATGGGATATAAATGGGTTTTTATGTGAAAACAAAATGAGAAAAATGAGATTATAAAATATAAAGTATGACTTATTGCACAAGGTTTTACCCAAAGGTCTGGTATTAAGCATAAAGAGATATATTCTCTTTGATGGATTCAACAATTCTATATTAACTAGTTTGGCAATAAATGATAAAAATGAAAAGCATCTAATGAATATAGCTACAGCCTATTTAAACAGCTCACTTGATAATGATATTTATATGAAAATCCTTGAAAGATTTAAGTTGTCTGAAGCACAAAATTTAAATTTTTAGGAAAGTTATTCGATTAAATTAAATAAATCTTTATATGAATTAAAGTCATCGAACGCATGTAGTATAATCGTTTTAGTAAATATTTTTTGAAAGAAGACTATAAAACTGATCATATATGACCATATGTTTTTATAAAAGGATTTAGATATGAATTTATGATAATTGTTGTTTATGTTGATGACTTAAACATTACAGGAACTTTTAGAGGGTTATCAAAAACTGTGGATTACTTAAAAAGAGAATATGATATGAAAGACCTTGAAAAAATAAAGTTTTGTTTGGGTTTTTAAACTGAACACTTGACAAATAAAATTTTTGTCCATCAATCTAATTATAGAGAGCAAAAGTGTTAAAGTGATTTTATATGAATAAAGCATATCCACTGAGTTCACCAATAGTTGTAAAGTCACTAGATATAAAAAAAAATCACCCTTTCTAACCTTGTGAGGATAATGAAGAGCTTCTTCGTCCTGAAATACAGTATCTTTTTGCAATTGGAGTACTAATGTATCTTACTAGCAATAAGTGCCTTGATATATCATTTGCTGTAAATTTATTAGCAAGATACAATTTTTTTCCAATTCAAAGACATTGGAATAGAATTAAACATATACTTCGATATCTTCGAGGAACAATGGATATGGGCTTATATTATTTAAATGCATTAAAATCAAATTTGACTAGTTATGTAGATATAGAATATTCATTTGATCCACACAGGGCTTGATCTTAGGCAAGTTTTTTATTCATATGTGGAGGTATGACTGATAACTCTATTATATAGAGTTT